GACGAATTTTAAAAAATGTCTCGTCTATGACTTTTTTACGTTATTTCCTTGATTTGCCCAATCATAATTACATTTCTCTTCTATGTACTCAACAAATGTATCCGTCTAAAGACTTCATATTATCATCTTATTTTTTCCTTTATAACAAGTTCTTATTCACTCATCAATAAATACTAGTTTTGTCTGTTCAATAAAGTTTTGTTAAAATTAAACTATTCTCATGCACAATATCTGCACGTGCTCTTCAAATAAGGATCTAGTGCACGATACTTCACTCGGAGAAAGAGATTTCCTAACCCAAAAAAAAAAATAATAATAAAAAATAATAATAATAATAATAAAGAAAAAGAAATACTCACCGTAGGTGGATAGGAAATATTTATTGAACTTTTAGAGCATAAAAATTGGCATTTTTATAGGTGGAGATTAGGAACTCTTGGGGGCAATTTGTGATGGTTGTTACGCTAAATTCCGCAAGTGGACGGTATCTTAAAAAGGTAATATAGTGGATGAGAGTCCAAATGCTGATCCAACGATGACTAAATATCTAATTTATTTTTCAATTAATATAACTCTAATTGATTAACGCAATTTAGATGAAATTGACTATATTTACTAATTGAACCTAAAACTAACGAATCTTATTCTAAACTAAGTGATTGGGAAGCGTTTACAAAACTCAATTAATTGAACAAAGAACTATGACCTTCAATCCCCTTACATTCTATCATCTTAATATTAATTCAAGACTTTGACAACATTTATTAGGATTTGAAGATCAATGTTCCATGTTTTTAATAATCTCTCTCGACTAGAGTTAAATCTATCGTCAAATGTCCTGAAATTTCCTTATTTCAAAAGCGAATGTATGATTATGCATTAAATCACTAAAACATTCAATTAGATCATACAAAGAAAAGACAATTATTCATTATGTAAATTATTCCAAGCAAGAAAAATCAAATATGTCAGAATGGCGTGTGCGATCGCACAGTGTACTTAGTTATGACTTCACTAGCTAAAGGTTTTGCATCTAGCTGTTGTAATTTATTGCCTTGCGATTGTAAGTGCTTGTGCGTTTTGATTGCAAGGCATGAGGTTTTTATGTTGTTGCAGTTTGGTCCAAGCATCTTCCTCTTGGTTCAGCTCGAGTCCCTTTTTAATTATATCTTTAGTCTTTCATCTTTGCATCTTTTTTAATTTGCAAGTTCTAAAATTTTGCATTTGCAATTGAGTTCTCAAACTCTTCAAATTTTGGATTTTGCTCCTAAAACTTTAAATCTTCTCTGACTACTGTAATAAATATTGATAAAACGTAATTGGGTTTATCTTCAATTACTTCGGATCAACTCCAATTAAACTCAATCACTTTTCTTCACTCCAAGTGTCATCAGGTTTTATCTACAATTAACATATTTACACCAAATTAGTTTGATCTTCGCTCAATTTAGAAAATAATAATAATAATAATAATAATAATAATAATAATAATAATAATAATAATAATAATAATAATAATAATAATAATAATCAAGTTTAGATGCATGAATATGTATACAAAACCACTTATCAAACACTCTCAAACTTAAACTCTTTTTTGTCCCAAGTAAGATTATTTACTGAACACACTAGCAACCAACAAATATAATCAATGCATTAGATAGCCTTTTGTATTCCAATCAAGTATTAGGATTATTTAAACAATTCATTAAAAGTTAATAAGTAATATTACCAAATCCTAGCGAATTTCACTTTACCCATGTTCGATCAATGTGTATGTGTTCTGAGCCATTCAATCGTCATGAACATTGTTGGTTATATTTTGACTCTTAATAACCAATTATTTCATTTCTCTCTCGTGGGATACACACTCCCAAACTTGATGTTCAATCTGTTACCCAAGGTACTTATTTTAAGGTTGATTTCATGATGCTCATTCCTTCTCCACTCAAATTTGGGTAGGTTTCACAAAGAAAGTACACTCAAGTTTGGCTAGGTTTCACAAAATAAAAAAATAAAAAATTAACTATCTCAATATGTGATGATTCTCCCTAGATTTGATTGTCCCAACCTTCAATCTTTATCTAGGATAATAATCTCACTAAAAATCTAAATCCCAAATTAAATATCCAAAATTTAATCAAACAAAAACCATGTTTATAGTTGTTTTACCATTGCCTCAACATACATTGGTGTGTTTTCTTTTTCTTTTGTCATTCTTTTCCTTCTTCTATTTTTTTGATGTCTTCTTTGGTTTACGAAGGTAATTTTCACTCCGCACTGCATTAGCCCTATTCTCCGATAGACCGTCTCCTAAATATTGGTAATAAGTAGGGTCTGATTACTCATAACTAGCTCTAGCACTATTGTAGGTAACTTTTTCCTAGTCATGGCTACTGTAATGCCTTTTATTGGATCATGTAATTGAGATTAAACCCCTAGTGCATGATTATCTTCTAGGCTCCACGTGTTCGCAAAACTCTACTTTGATGTTCAATATGTACGAAATGAAAACTTATCTAGATAGCTCTCAACATCGGATTAATCACTCTAAACTATCATTTAAATAGACTAAGTGGTTGTGTTTTCAATTGTGATTTTGGTTTTAAAAATATAAGTTCATTTGACATATTATATTAATCTACTCAACACAAAATTACATTTTTGAACGTTTAAATTAACCAAATAGTTTAGATTCAAATGTGGAATTAAACCAATTAAAAGTTACAAATCACATATTAATTATTTTAAATGATTAAGGTAATTAATTCAATTAATTCCTATGTTTAAACAATAAAAAACATTCAGATCTAAGCAATAAATAAATAAATAATTTCAAATATGATCATGAAAGAAAATTTCAACTTAGGATAAAAAACTTCTGAGCAAACTTGCCAATAAATAATTCACTAAAAAAAAACTAACTTACAATTAGTCTAAACACTGTTAAATTTTATTTGACTATGGCCACCTAACTTGTAAATTAACAAGAAACTCCTTTGGTTGTGTACGCCCGCACTTCTCAGAACGCTATGCCACTTTTCTCTCCACATGGATCACTTCGAATGAACCTTATTCTTGAGCATCAAAATTTCAAGCACCTCTTCTTCGAACTCCAAAACTCTAAAGGCTTATAGGTGAATATTGGGATTTATTTTGGTGTTTGATTAAAGATCTTTTGTATTTTGATCAGTGGCTGAGGTAAAATATATTGGAATGTGGAATTGATCTTCAAGTAAGTTCTCTTGACTTCACTCAAGGCTCAACCAATATTGGAACAATGCTGAGATAAAGTATATGAACAATGATTTTTGGGGTTGAATCACTAGAATCAATGAAATGTGTCTAAGATCTTCAATAATAAGATCTCGAAGACAAAATAATGATTCTTCACACTTTTGGACGATCTAGGCTTGTGTATTATAATATAAAGTGTTTGGGGTGATATAGAATAGGAAAACAGGTTGTTTAATCGATACAAGATTTACCCGGATATATGTGCTGCTTGAGAGACAATTTAGCACTAAGCAATCATCAGAGTTCTGTTTTATGCGCTCGAGCACAAGCAAGGCGTTAAGTTAGCGATGCTAAGTTCATTTTTTGCTCTACTGCTTGAAGTCCGAAACTTGATCTTATTGTTGTATTTATTTTTTGGACTATCAACCCCAAACTATTTTTACTGTCACTAAGACTCAATAACTCCTATTTTGACTTTGATTTCAACTAGATTAACTCCTAATACAATTCAACTAAAATATGATTTTAACTAAGGAAATTGCCAATTACAAATTTAGAAATCACTCAATATATAATTAGGACGTAACATTATTGGTCATCATAACTATTGTGTTAAAAGTAATATAATCTTACATGGAGAAGTTTCAAATTAGCAAAGTGGAATTACCTATTCACAATTCACGAACCATAGAGAATTACATCTAATTTAATAATTAGTCAGCTAAACTATTCAACGTTCACAATCATGTATAAAGTAAGAAAATATATATATTTTTTATTTTTTTTCAAAATTTTCAATGGTTTTTATTTTTATTTTTATAACATCACATAGACAAACAAATAAACATAGAAAAATAACAATGCTTTGCCCCAAAACTGGAAATACACATTGTATTCAATGTGAACACAGAATATGTAGGCCTAAATAAAGGATAATAGTACTGACCGTGTGGGATTGACATAACAATTTTTCCGACTTGGTTGCGAGGGTAGGAATACTACCTTAAGTATAAAATGTTTTTCACAACAAGAAATAAAATAAATGTACATAACCAGGGGCGGATTCAAAATTATTCTTCAGTGAGGGCGAGACAGAAAATTGGTTAAAATAAATTGTGAAAACAAACCAAAAAAATCTGAAAATTTAAATTTAACAAGATCGAATTGAAGGTTTTTGAAGATGCAGTAGAGGCGGCCGACCCCACTCGTCCCACAGTGGGTTTGCCCCTAAAAGATAGAAAGTTGCATCGCCTCTCAATATATACTTGTTTACGACTTACTCCGATTTTTTTACAACAATGTTCACGGCACTTTGAATAATGCCTTATTTAGTTTGTTTAGATTGACTTTGCACCACTGCTCGTTATTCCTTCCAATTTTTACCTTGCCCTTTTCAACATATATAACTTGCATCCACTTAATTCAAATTTAATTATATATACTTTTATCTTTTCATCGACCTTAATAAAAAATTCAAAGCTCTACTCATCCCAATTTTAAGATGCTGTAACCGCGAGATGATAAGATGTTTTGAAAAAAGTGTTAATGGAGAATTAAGATGCTATTGGTGAGATTTAAATTAATTTTTTAATATGCGTGATTAAAATTAATTGTCGACTTTAATTTGAGATTTTAATTTGATTTAATCTACACTAAACAGAGTAATTGAAGAGACATTGAAGTTAGTGACCAACTGATATTTCAGGGAAGGTGACCATAAATGATATTATTAAACCTCTCCTCCAGGCCGTAATAACTTTTGAACCATGGTTAAATCAGCCTATATATAGCAACCCGAAACGCTTCACACGTCCCGCCAAATCATTTTACCCCTTCTCATTTCAAATTCATAACAATCTCATCTCCAAATTATTCGATCACCTCTCTTCTCTTCAGAGTTTCAGTTCTCTCAAATTCAAAAAGTTGAGCTGAGAAGATTTGAAAATCTCACGTTACCATTTTCTCTCAGGTTTTAACGATTTTTACTGAAGTTTTTGTCTAATTCTTACAGATGCTAGCACAAAAGGTAAAGGAATCCGAGATCACAGAGCAGGACTCGCTTCTACTGGTAAATCAGTTGAATTATCTTCGTATAAATCATTGTTACTGTAGCTTTGATGTGATCGTTAATTTGTTTAGTTCACTTCGCACTTTGTTTTTGTGTTTCCAAATAAAATTACTGATACGATTTCAATGAATCGGTATCGGTTGAATTTTTGGTCAGCTAATTGATTTCAACCAACGACAATGATTTTTGATTGCCCATGGTTAATATTACAAGATAATTACACGAGTATTCATTTTAGTTTTGTCGCTTATTGATTAGTATTGGGGCACTCAGTAATGGTTGGATTTTCACTCGGCATCATTATATTTTGATATTAATCTATTCATTGTGTTCAATGTGATGTTAGAATTTGACTGCATCAACTGGTTTTCACTTATGAGATTTACTATTTCTCAACACCTGTTTGATTCTAGATTTATCAAATCGTGCTATTCTATCTTGGACACGATCTTAAATCTGGCTTTTTGAGATTTTTTTTGTTTCTCGATTTTCTCAATTCCAACTTATTACAGAGTTGAATATAATCTAAAAATCTGTTTCATGTGGGAAATCCAGCATTTTCATCTACACGTGAATGTCTTATGGTGGTCTTATATTGATGCTAGACGATAAAATTTCAGTGTAATAAACATCAACCTAAATTCCTGTGTATAACTGCGTGAGTTGCCTATTGAACTTGTGACAGCACCAGATTCTCATGAACAACTGATGAAATAAGAGCTGAAGCTTAGCATCATTCTGTAGATGTTCATGAGTTTAAAGTTGTCTGTTTCAAACATTTTTGAAACTTAAAAATGAGTGTCACTTCAATCTTTTGATTCCTTTGCAAGAAGTAAACTATGTTATCATCAGTACAGATTCTAAGGTTTTTTTTTTTTTTTTTTTGCTTTTTTTCTTTTTTTTTCCCCCCTAAATATTTCTTACACCTTACCAAACTAATGCTATCAAATTGATTGATTCTATACAGACGAGGAATCTGCTACGCATTGCTATATTTAACATTAGTTACATCAGAGGCTTATTCCCTGAGAAGTATTTCAATGATAAATCTGTTCCAGCCTTGGGTCAGTTTCCACTATGCCAATATTTTGAATTTTTTGGACTTAATATCAGCTGTTGAATTGGATCTATTGATCTTCTTATCATAAACAGAGATGAAGATTAAGAAGCTTATGCCTATGGATGCTGAGTCACGCAGATTAATTGACTGGATGGAGAAAGGCTTGCTATCAATTTAATAATAAGATGAAATTCTAAGTTAGAATTTTCTTTCCTCTCCCTCTGACTTTTGCTTTTTTTCTTTATTCTTAGGTGTACATGATGCTCTACAGAAGAAGTATTTGAGAACACTCTTGTTCTGTATCTGTGAAACAGTGGATGGGCCAATGATAGAGGAGTATGCATGTAAGTGTAAATTTCGTAATTGATCGTGGCAGTATGCTAGTGTTTCAGCAATCCAAGGGCCCTAACCAATATTTGGTAATTACGCGGAATAAATTGATTGAAAATCATTAGTTCCCCAAAAACAAAACATATCTGACTACATGATAATTGATAGTTTAGACAAGTTTCTTGTGCCATCAACATAGAAAAGTTTGCTGGTTAGTTGTATCAAATTTCAGTTAAGTATTATAGTCACTTTGCATGTAATGTTGTAGCATAGTCCTTTGGGTCTCCATTCTACAAACTAAAAGGTAATAAGTCACTATATGGTATCTCTATTGCAGTTTCCTTCAGTTACTCGAATTCTGATAGTCAAGAGGTATCGATGAACGTCAATCGCAAGGGTACAAAGAACGGAGTGTCATTCAACTGTAATTCCAACACAGAAATAACTCCCAGTCAAATGAGGTAGAAAAATTCATACAATTTCATCTAGTTTTTCCGCAGTCTAATGTTAGTTGGATTTCCAAATGAAACCAAATACTGAGTCTTGGTCCAAGTGTTGCTTTCAGGAGTTCTGCTTGTAAAATGGTCCGCACATTAATTCAGCTCATGAGAACTTTGGATAAGATGCCAGAGGAGGTAACACTTCCTGAAATAGAGAATCTTGCTTATGGTACTTCTGGTTTGTTGTTGATGGTAACTCAATGTGTTCTAATCTGTCCAGCGTACTATACTGATGAAGCTACTATACTACGATGATGTCACGGTATGACCTTCACTTACGTCAGCCCACTTCATTTTCATTTACACTTGAAATGTTAATTGCGAAGATATATCAATTAGAAAGTAATGCAATTCTTAAAACACTGAATTTCTTTTGTTAAAAAAAAAAGAAAAAGAAAAAGTAATGCAATTCTTAAAAAACTGATTTTCATTAGTTAAAAAAAAAAAATAGTAAAAAAATATCCGATTCTCATGATATAAAGCACTTCAAATAATTAAATAGAAGAACAGAACCTCTTTTATTTTTAACTTCTTCAGTTTTGTGTCATTTGAAAGTACTAACCAAATCCTTTAAAATCCATCCCATTAGAAATGCAGTCTGTATAAATTTTAATGTGCTGCAATTGAAAATGCTAGGCTTTTTTTAGTCGGCACTTGTTCCCTCCTGTAAAGCGATTGATGTGATTGTTTAAGTACTAGTGTCATGATATGCGCAATGTAGTTTTCAGTTTTCAGTTTTGAGACTTCTGAATGTGAATTAATGCAGAGCATTGATTATCCTCTATAATTGTAGAAATTAACATTTCAGATTTGGGGTTGTAACCCTTTCAGTTAGTCAAATTCTGCATTGTGTAATATTCACCTCAAAAATCAGTTAATAACATTATTCCAACGTGCTTCCCAACATTGCAGCCCTTGGATTATGAGCCTCCCTTCTTCAGAGGCTGTATAGAAGAGGAAGCTCATAATCCATGGACTAGAAGTCCCTTGAAAATGGAGGTTGGCAATGTCAACAGCAAGCACTTCGTATTGGCTCTTAAGGTAAGGGGAATTTACAGGATCTGCAAGATTCTTATGTCTTTAGTCAATTGTGATCAACTTTTTTACTTGTATTCTGTGCAGGTTAAGAGTGTGCTCGATCCCTGTCAGGATGAGAATGATGACTATAAAGATGATGTAAGCTTGGGTTCTGATTCTCCCAAAAGAGATGAAAATAGTGAATCTGATAGCGAGGTAAAGTGTAAACGCTTCTAAGTATGGTCTTATTCACTTTGCGTACTTGTAAATACTCAATAGGATCAAACTTAATTGAACTTAACAAAATCTTTTGAAAATTAACTTCATATTTCAGACCGGCAATTCAGATGATCAATACATGGTGGCTCAAGTTGGTAATTCAAGTTGTCTTGCCTTGTCTCCTTTTGTCTTATCTCCTTTTATAAATTTGTTTCCACTACTTTCTCAAGTTACATGATTCCTATCGTTTTTCTTTTCATAGGCAAGAAACAGATTCGTGAAGGTAACACCGCAGTTGATGAAGGTATCAGTCTAGTTGCATCAACCATTCGAAGGATTTCTTTACTGATGAGCTTAGAGAAAAATCTGATGTACATTACTTTTAATTGCAGATGATACTCAGGACCCTGAAGAAGATGCACAACAGTTGGGGCGTGTAAAGGACTGGATCAGATCATATCACCTTGATACTGTCGAGCTCACAGATGTGATCTCTAATTTCCCTGACCTCTCAGTGGTAAAAGACCTATTACGCAATTGTCCCTTGCTAATATAAATTGTTTCCATGTAAAGTTCGATTGGATCTTTGCTGCATTTATATTATGACTAATGTTGCAATTTGACGGATGCAGATTATGATTGAAGGTAATTGGACGTTGTCAGGTTAAAACTGATCAAACAAGATCCTAATACTATACTTTTGAGCAATTGTGAATTGTTTCTACTGGTACAGAAATTATGGACAAGCTGGTTAAAGAAGGTGTTATTACTAAAGCTGGTGCAGAAAGTTATAACATTAACAAGCAAAAGGTTTGCTGAGATTTTTCCTGCTTTTTGTTATTATTCTTGTTACGATCTTTTCTTATTCGACAAATTTAATCTCAGAAATTCGACTATGAGTTTGATGCTGTGAAAGAAGAAATGGAAGGTCAAATAATGGCCAATGATGGCAAAACTGAGGTTATGGGTGTCGATCACATGTACATGAAGGTAAATCTTTTCATCGATTTAAAATTTCACTCAAATTCAGTCTGCTGATTGCTTGTATCTTTTCAGACTGTGTGTATGTATCCCGCTATCCCTTATCTATGGTTGAGTTCATTTAATACTGGATACCTGTTTGATGGGTTCTTATAATTAAAGAATTTCAGATTCTTCAGAATTTCTTCACGTAGCATATTTATACCTCTGGGTCTTGAACTCAGGCTTTATATCATGCTCTTCCGATGAAGTACATATCGGTGGCAAAACTTCAGAGCAAGCTTGAAGGTGAAGCAAACCTGACTATTGTTCGTAAGCTTATCGATAAAATGACCAGGGATGGCTTTGTTGAGGCCAAGGGCAACCGCAGACTAGGTAAATATAACTATAAGAGATGAGGATTTAATAATTGAAGAAGAAATTGCAATTTACAATTTGCGTTTGTTACAGGCAAGCGTGTGATCCACTCCGATCTTACTAAGAAAAAACTGATGGAAGTCAAGAAGGCCCTCATGGGCACAGAAGACATGGTACAATCATTACGATTCAAAATTGATTCTATTGGCTACTTAAACAATCAAGAAAACGTTTAATAGATTCTCATTTTGAAACTAATCAGGCTCTGGACGCAAACGAATTAGTTAACAAGCTCTACAATCCACCACTTAACACTACTGGTACTGAATCTGATTATCTCCTTTTTCGAACATCAAACCATAGTCAATCTTGTAATTCCATTGTTATATTTGAAACTTGAGATCTTTGTTACTATTCAGGGAACAATCACAAGGACTTATCCACCTGTGGTGTCCTTCACTCAATTGGATCAGATCGCACCTGCACAAGAGGCAGATCTGACGGACTCCAGAATGAATCTATGAGAAGTGAGCAGACTGTCTCAAGGAAAAGAGAGCTCGGAAACACTCCTACAAGCAGAGCTGAGGTAAGTCCAGTGACTTTGATCAGATCATAGTTAAATTCTCTCCATTGATTCTGTAATATAAAGTTGTATTACGATGTTCTGCAGCCAGTAGCTTCGAGAGAAAGCTTTATACCCGGAGTCGAAGATGGCAGAGCTAACGGAAAAGCTAATATCTGTGAGGAGATGGACACAGTTATGTCCACTCAAGACAAACGTTCTAGAAAAGCAAGCTTGGTATGCTTCAAAATCTTTGTCCCAGTTTAACTGTGGCCAGACCTTGTTCTGGCATTGATTAAATTTGTTGTGGATTTTGTATTTTCAGGTCAAAGAGCCCATCCTCCAGTACGCAAAGCGCCAGAAATCTCAAGCTGTCTGAAAATTCACCATTGCTTGGTTATCAATTTTCAAAATTTTTTTGCAGTCTATTGGCACCTTAACTAATCTGTAGCCGTAATGACATTTCATACTCGAACGATTCCCCCTAACAGTACTTAAACTGATAATATAGACGTTGGATAGCCCTCGAATGTACGTAGATAGCCATATAATTGAATGAGATATGTATACTTGACTGATATCTGGCCAATTGTGATATTATGAAACGAGAATATATATATGCAGGAGTTTATTGTGGCACTATGTGGATATCTTTTGGTTATTCTGATGTGGGTGTTGTATTCTTCTCTGCTTATATGAATTCCATCTTATAGGCCAAAAAGAAAGATGAAAATGATCCTTATCATCATTTGAACGATATATACTTTATGGAAGTCTAACTTGGGTTTATTTGGTTCTCCCAAACGTTTATGCAAATTTATTCCAAACCTATTCTTTTGGTTGTTTTTGCAGCAACAATTAACACTATTCTTAAACAAATATAATTACTTTCTTTCAGTGCATTTGTTAGTATGCGTTCATGTATCATATCAAGCTCAAGTTGAATTTGTTTGATAAAGTAGACACCCATTGGAGTCGCAATTTGCATTGCTTTCATTATTGTCTGAAAAATAGATATCCCCTTTGAAACTGTATAAAATTCGAAAAGATTATTTAAAAAGAAAAAAGAAATTGATTAAAATGTTCACAAATGCCAAAACTGCAGTAACATTAAAAGAATAGAACAAATGAAAGAATATATTTAGGTTATATTTGAGCCACATTTTTTGAAAAAAATATATTTTTAAACAGTGATTTGACATTATTTTAACAATACATTCTTCAATAAAATAATATTACACGCAAATTCAAAAATTTCCTTATTTTTTAACTACATATTTCTTATATCAATACACTATTCACAAATGGATTATTATGAAAATAATGTAGCTCAAGATAAACATTCCCAATCTTAACACTTGCGGCTCAAATCATGTTTGGCTAAATTTAAGCTATGTAGAAAGTTATTTATTTTTTATGATCGTAGAAAATAATTTTTACTTATTTTAAGTTACTTAAAAGTAATTTTTGGAGCTCAGCTAAGCATACAAGCTTCTTCCAGAAAGCTCTTCTGTTCCCTTGTATAGAATAATGCTAGATAATCATGCTACAGATGTCACATCCGCTCCTCATAAGTGTATATTATTATCTGCAAACTAGGGATGGCAGTTTTCCCCTCCCCCCCCGCCCCGTTCCCCGTCCTGAACCCGCCCCACTGCCATCCCTACTGCAAACTTAGAATGCAGACACTGATGCTCAAATAAGTCCAAAAAGGATAGTAAAGTGAATTGAGTGAGGAAGTGGCAAAGAGGGGATCATAATTTGGAATCGGGTTTGTATGTTTTTGAGAGAATTCCAAATTGTTCATTATCCTTGAATGACACTAAGTGTGAGTATTTATAGGATAGGGAAAGGAATGAAACTATTTGACATGTTGCCTCATTCCAACGGCTCACTGCCCCCCGCCCCGTTCCCCGTCCTGAACCCGCCCCACTGCCATCCCTACTGCAAACTTAGAATGCAGACACTGATGCTCAAATAAGTCCAAAAAGGATAGTAAAGTGAATTGAGTGAGGAAGTGGCAAAGAGGGGAACATAATTTGGAATCGGGTTTGTATGTTTTTGAGAGAATTCCAAATTGTTCATTATCCTTGAATGACACTAAGTGTGAGTATTTATAGGATAGGGAAAGGAATGAAACTATTTGACATGTTGCCTCATTCCAACGGCTCACTGTCCATCACATCACAATATCTTGTCCTTGACATCAATAGGTCCGCAACCATGCATGCTGTCATAGGCAACTAAAAGAATATCTACACTCAACTGTCAGTGTAGATAACATCAAATTATCTCCATAAGTTAGAACTGCACTTTACATAAGCGTTGAGAGTTGGCTTCCATGCCAGGGGTGGACCCAGGAACATAATTCAGCGAAGAGGAGATAGAATTATGTAAAATTTATGGGTTAAAATTTTGTACTAAAAATGAAAGGCCTACTTTGTAAATGTAAAAATGAGGGTCCGCCCCTGTTCCATGCAGACCATGTTATGCCGTTAAGCATTACATATCCAAGGCATTGGTATGTGGAACATATGCTATCGCCTCGGAAAGCACTTAGGTGGCATCCTTGCTTAGCTTCACGCGTCTTGCAATGTAGGCAAAGGAATAAAGATATTTTGATTTGGATGGTGTTAATCATGTTATGTTTTCATTGGTTTAAATTTTGAATTCCGGTTTGTGGTTGATTTTCAACCTCTTAACGTGTTTATTGATGATTTGTGGATGTTATAGGATTCATTTGCTTCGGGTTGAATTCCAATATCTTTGGTTAAAATATTTGAAATGTTCTTTTCCTTCCTATCCGGGGAACCTTGAGAATACAATTTACTGAAGAAAACATAACATTTAATAGAATGGGAAACTTCTTATTCCACTATTATTACAGAGGACTCTTGAATTCAGAAATGAAAGAATTGAATAATGTTTTAGTTACTCCAGGAAGTGAATATATTTCGATCTCATTCCTTTGGTTTCTCATATTTGAATTCCTACGTCTTTAGATCCATTGAACATTTTCTTTCGTTATTGTTCCTTTGTTTTCTTTTTGTTCTTTAATTTGTAGGCTTGAATAAATGCATATGAGCTTGTTGAAATGTCATTGCGGCATGGTGTCTTACTTCTAACATCACACAAGTTGTACATATTTTATATTATTATGGGTTGTTTCGTAACAAATATTAGATAGCGTATTGAGAAAGAAAAATAAGTACAAATTTTCTCAAATATGTAGTACATTCTGTTGTATTATGGCTTCTCTGTTCACATAAATTTCCCCGTTCTTTCTAATTCATTTTCTTGTGCAAGTTGGATGAAGGAATTTAGAAATTTGACCCAATTAGTTGTCAAGAAAACATCCAAGTTAGAAGAGAAAATTAAGGTTGGTGCAGCCCTTTCCCGCGCTTGGAGCCTGGGACGATTGTTTTGCATTTTACATTTTGCCATGAGCCAATTGGCCATTGTGTGGTACAAATCTGGCCTTCCATGGAGTGACAGAAATGGCTGTTCTGACAGTTACATATTGGTCCGAGAAGTACTGAAAAAATGATCAAAGCATATAAGCAGGTTGAGAAGTGAAAGTGAATTAGACGGAATAGAATAGAAGCAGCATATCATGTTTATTGTGTGGAAGGCTTTCGATTTGTCTTCTTTGTAGCATTATACAATGGAATTTTGCTTGGCATATTGGCTTAAACAATAGTACATGTGTTCATGAAAATATATTTTGATTTAAACCACCGCAAGTTTACGGTTCGCAACAAGTAATAAAGTGAAATTTAGAGTTCCGAATATCGTCCCATAGAGATTGAGTTAATTAAATTTTACCTATCTCGACCTTAATTGAAATCTATTTTGTCAAACTTGATTTGTTGTAACTAAATTTAATCCTACTTAGACTAAATATGCAAATATGTATGATTTGAATGAACTAAAATGCAAAGTAAATGTGTTGAATGCAAGTTGATGTACTCGATAAATATGAAGCGCACTAGGATCACGAATCCCCAAGCAATGCTCACCTTCAACCCTAGTCCACAATTTGACAACACGTTGAATTTTTGAAGAATCAATGCTCCTAAGTCTATCTACCAGCCTATATCTCTATGACGGATGCTAGTATACAAGAATGCATATGATTTTGTGAGCACTTAAAGATTCACGTAAGGCATAGAGGTATATCTCTATCTCCTATCGGACCCTACGATGATTTATACCCAGTCGACCTTATTCCTCTTTTCTCGAATGCATGAAATAAGTCGACACACTCACACAATTACGTGTACATAATCATGAAAAAAAATAATTGCATATAAACCATTCAAATTCAAATAACGTATCAAATTGTCAATAATGTAAAACTAGAAATAAAAATATTACGTAACATGGTTCATCGTTCTCCTAGTACAAATAAATTTAGCATAACATGATGGGAAGATGAAAACAAATTGAATAATAAAGAAAAGACATCACCAATTTAAATCTTGAATTGAATCCTTGCGTCTTGATATCAATCTCCATGTTCTTGCCTTGTTCTCTCCTCTAAAAACCCTTATGAATGTGTTATAATGCGTCTTCCCCCTTTAGGGAGGGCCTTAGGGTTTTAAAATACTTTCCAAGATTTCTTTCCATAAGAATTTCAGTTAGAATAGAAAATCAGAATTTTTTCACTATGAACAATCGCCTAGGCTAACTTTTTTGCCTCGATAATTGTTCCTTGATGTTAGACAATCGTCCACCCTAAATGACTAGGCAATCGCCCAGTTATAAAAACTTCCAAATGTTGATTTTTGATCCTCAAATTCAATTCTTGATTCTTTTATATCCTTTCTCTCTCTTTTTTTTTCCTCCCAATACTTCAAGTTCTTACTAAATTTGTCCTTAAGTTTTCACATCGTTGTTTCTACTCTCGGTTCACATTGATTATTTGCACTTTGGTCCTTTTTCTTCTATTTTCTCTTGAATTCTATCATATCCATCAATATAGTCGTATAAAACGAAATTATTCAGAATTAAGCTATAATTCAAATATTTTTATCAACAATTTGTCATGTTTTGTGGGCAAAATAAGTGTGTAAAAAATGCACTTATTAAACCCTCAAACTTGAACTATTGTTTGTCTTCAAACAAGATAGTGACTTAACTCAATACAAAATATGATTTGACAACCTGTCGTGTCTCAAGATTGGAATTCAGTAATCAACACAAGAAACAGTTTCAATAATGCATAAATGAAATCAACTTACTTGTCAGATGCATAACTCAACGTATGTGTGTCAACTCATGTCAACATATCAAGCTTATGATTGGTTTATTCCCCACTTATAGTAGTCAAATATACCATTTCTTTGCTCGAGAGATGTACATCCCCCAAGCTCATTTTTTTCATTCAATCATCTCGGGAGATTATCCCTTTTTAATGGCCTATTATGCAGAAGTAATGAGCCTAGTAGAGGTTGGATTATCCTTTCCTTGTCAATTCAATTTAATGAGATATCCAACGATGAGCTGAGAAGATGCGAGCTTAATTTCCTTAATGAAAAAAGAGACGAATCCTACGTAAAACTAGTGCATGTCAAAGGAAAATGACTCGTTTCTATAACGCAAGAGTTAACAAAAAGTCCATTCGTGTAAACAATCTAGTG